ATTGTGAAATATGACTCGACGATATCCTCGCAATGCTCTTCAGCGCTTTTATACATTACAGAATGTCGGTGATGTGTTCGCGTGATATAGACGAATCTTGCTTGACATTGCGTATTTCTTGCACGCAATTTACAAGTTGGATTTGCAGCAAAAAAAGGCGATAATGAAAAATTTTACAGACGTGGATGAATAAAAATTATAAAATTCATTTCAGAAAAAAGCAACAGTTAAATGAAATTTTGCAAATATCCAAATACTTATAATTTGTTTCACGAAAAAAATAAAAAATATGTGCTCTAGTGCGAGCCTTCGTCTCTCTCTCTCTCTCTCTCTCTCTCTCTCTCTCTCTCTCTCTCTCTCTCTCTTTTTCTCTTGTTCTTTTTTACGATACGAGCGATCCTTTTCATGGTGAATGCATGTGCGTGTCTGCCATGTGACGAAGCGGATTCATAGTAGTGTACCCCATAGAATACCTTATACGTGAAATGACGTTGGGAAAAGAAAGAACAAGCCGGAATCACCGTAAGAGGAAGCAAGGAAGCAAGGAAGAAAGAGAGGCCGACGGCTCGGCGCAGCAAGCAGCGAAGGAGAATAGCAGAGCGAAACGTGGCTGTGAAGCAGTTCGTGGAATGTCTCGTCATCTCGGGGGAACAACAATCCGGGCTTCTCCGGAACTCCGAACGGGGGAAAGGCCTGAGGTTTCTTACTGCAACTGATTGCTGCCCGCCTCCGTCCGTCTATTCGTTCGTTCGTTCGTTCTCCCGTTGCTTACTTCGAGCTTACTGTTGCCGACTTTGCATCTTACTTGGCGTCTTACTCGGCATACGTCGTCAATGATCAATGATCATATAATAGTCAACGCCACTCTTTTTTTTTCTTTTTACTGCATTACTATAATACTGACCTCTACCGTAGTATAAGTACAACTTTGGAAACTTTCGATGTTAGTTCAGTTCCGAAAGCTTCTGTCGAAAGTTGTAAGTGTAGCGTTCTTGAGACAAAAGTTAACAGCTTCTTTTCTCGAACAAAGTTATAGAGTGTGCAACAATTATATTTGTGAATTATAAGTAAGTAGAAGTGAATCTGTATACTCTCTAAATCTGAATCAGTAGATAATCACTAGTCAGTGCCAAGTATGTCACTGGTAATCGGTGAATTAAATGTGAGAAATATGTCCCTAACCTAAGCTAATCTTTATTATGTGATCTAACTAACCTTGTTTTAGTGATTAAATTCAATGATGGGTATTGAATGATATGGTATGGTATTGGAAAATTGAAATTAACGTGCAAATATCAGTATTTCATTTATATAATGCTCAAATATTCTTCCTTTTTTAGTTGAACTTCACTGATTATCAGTACCAAGTATACCATTGGGTGATTAGTGACTATCTACTGATTCAGATTTAGAGAGTATAAAACTTAGAACGCTGTCATTGGATACTGAAGCATTCTTGTTCCAAGTAATTTTATGAAAAACATTGTTTGATTATCAAAATGTTTGAAATAAACCAGCGAATAATAATAATAGCAATAAATAATGAAGTGTGCAATCGAACGAATAGCAAGAGCGAATAACTATATATGAAAAATTGAGAAAAAGAAGTGAAAAATATCACTCGGAAAATCTTTAATATGAATTTATCTTACGATATATCTGTGTATCAATTTGATCTAGTTATTGTTTTAAAAATAAACTTTATCTCTCTTTTATGTGAATAAATTCGATCAGAGACACGTATTCACGTCGCTCGTATTATAATCCCGCGTACATGAGAAAAATATGTAAATAAGAAGGTCAAAAGGAAAGAATAAAAACGTTTGTGTGTAAAGTGTGAAAATGTATCTGGAATAGGTCATGCACGCGAAGTTTAATTTTTTGACGCACTCCATTTTTTTCAAGCTAAATATATAGTAAAATAAAAATTCCCGGAAAGTAACATCATTAAACTTTTCTACAATAAAAACGATTATAAATGTCAAAGTGCATATCTAGATCCATTTTCCTCTCAGAATGAACGATTCTCGTATAAAGTTTTTCTCATCCCACGTAAGATTTCTTTTTTAAATTGTTTTACTTTTTGTTCGCCAATTAATATTGCATTACCAATAAATAACGTACTGCATTTTGCCGATTACGAGTTGATAGGTAAATAGTTCAATTGTTACGACTCGACGATACCATGAATGAAGTTCGTTAAATGCCTTTTGCGAAAACGAACGGACTGGCGGGAGAGCGATGGTGTATTCGGAATGTATTCCGCCAATCATATAATTCGTAGCATTGAACTCGCGCTAATAGCGCCGCTCACAACCGCCACAATTTGTATTCTTTCGCCTTAATTACCGGGTTCTCGCGATAACAACCATCCGTCCTGGGCGAGCACACGTTGCGCGCCTCGTGCCAATTAATCCGCCTTTGTTGTCGCTCAATAATAATCACGCCGGCCGGCCGCGCTCGAAAGGGCCGTTCGCATCGGTGCAACTCGCTGCACCCTAAAGACCGGCCGATTGACGCTCCATAACGGCCCGATAAATTCATATTCAGATTGTATTTGTATTGTGTATCTGCATTTCGTTATCCTGTCACGCCCGTTCCACAACGGGACACGTTGCAGGATCGAACTGAAGTTCGGTCCACAAATACAATCGGGTCAAGTCCACTTTTCACAAAATTCGATTCGTTTCGTTTCGTTTTTTTTTTTACTTCGACACTCTGCACTCCGTACGCCAAAATCCCGTTTGCCACTCGTGCTTTCGACGTTTCAATTGTACGTTATAACTATTGGCAAAATCGCAGAGTGCTATTTTTTGAAAACAAATACAGAAATCTACGTATAATATACAAGTTTTATCTAAAATAATAATAAATGATTGTACGTGTTTCGACATGTTATTTCGTATTCCAATTATATTAAACATTATTTTATCGAGATAAGCGTGAAAGCGGATTTGATTTAATTTTGTATTCATATATTAGCTGTTTTCTTCCTACGTCCAGTTAACAAAAGTAACTTGTTGCACACGATATTGCGCAGTCGATGATCGCCCACGATTATGAGATGCGTGTGTGTGAGAACGGCGACGGTGTTGCGTTTCAGATACGATCGATGAATGTTCGCGATGTAGTGTGGCGGAGACTCTTTCATGCTCCGTGCGGCAGAATCGTTAATTATACCTCCGACTGATTGTCCTTGAATGACGAATTGCCATAACTGTATACCGTATTAACCGCTAATTGCAACGGAGGTCAAATGAAAATTCACAGATGGTCGCCGAATCCAAATAATTTTGTAACGCGAATATATACCGTTAAGCACAAGCGAAGTTAATATACAATTTACAAACGCAATCACAGAATATTACAGCGAATTCAATCACTTGCATTACACTAAATTAGCGTATACTAAAAGCTGCTTTACATACATAAATTAATAAGTTAAATGTAAAAGCGTATAAATACTTTAAATAATTAAATAACCAATAATGATACTGCGCTATTTAATAGAATATACACGTATTATTTCATTGTCAAAATTTATTATATCATGTCACTACGTGTCTAATGTAGTATCAGCGAACTAATTCACCATTTTAAGTTCGTTTTCACAATGTAAGTTTATCTAAAGATTAGAGATTACAAGAAATTTATGAATTTCTTGATAACTTTTAATTTTTAGATAATCATATATTATGAAAACGAATCTTAGTTGTAAAATTCGTAGTACACTCCATATAATATTATTTTTGATAGACAAATTTGAATAAAAAAATATATATGTATATATATAATTGTAAATATTATATTTGATATAAATAGTCCTGAATGCGCATCTGTTTTTGTATTTACAATTAAAAAGGACAAAAAATGTCTAAAAAAAATTCTAGAAGATTCTTCTTTACAAATTCTTCCCCAAAGTTTCATTCTCTGAATACAGCGATGTATAAATACTCGAAATATTTTAACGAATAGTACTTAGAGGATCAAACTTTAAAATATTTTCGTTCGTGTTATTTTTTGTGCGCGTGTCCTTTAACAACTTTTCTCGGGGAGGAGTTCCTTTCGTCGAAGACCAGCTGTCCTTCCGGGTGAGAGGTTTGTACGTAGTTGGCAGATAACAGCGGGGTCTCCCTTCTCATTGCGAGCCTCGGAGTCTCGGAAACGAGAACGACGAAACATAACCGTGACGGCAGGCAAAGACGGAGGACGAGACCCTGTCTGCCCTTGGCTGTTAGCGATCCGGAATAGATAAGGTAGATTATTGCACGAGATCCCTCGTTTCTTCGTCTGAGGTACTTTTCCGCTCTTCTATTTTCACAGCTTTATTTATAGCGTTTTGTTTGGGTGCCGTCGCCAAAGAGACTGAATATCTCAAAAAGCAACGCACTAATTCGCCAACAACATTGGCTTGCTGGCCGCGGAGTGGGACCAGACGATGATTAAAATTGGAAATCGACCGCAGTCGCTAATCTCGGCGTTTGAATGGAGTCTCGCGCGGCGGAGGGGAGGCAGGCGTTTAATAAACAGGTAACATTACACCGCAATGCGCGCCGCGGAAACAGGTTGCATCGAGCACATTGTACGTACATTTGTAAATGTAAGCAAATCGAAAAACGTGAATTGATCAGGAAGAAAGGAGCTCGAACGGATCGGTTTACCTCCGTTTCTTACGAAATTGCGCCAGTTTAATAAAACACTCGACTACTAACCGACTATCCGAAGGACGATCAACTTTTCGATTAGCGACTTGCATGAAAGAGAGAGAGAGAGAGAAAGTTGCCCATTCAAACTTTTGGACCGATTCTCGACCGTTCGTCGACTGTGACCGATGACGAACGGCGGCAAAAACAGGAAAGAAAATACAAAGCGAACCCGATATAGTAAGCCAGGATCTCGGCGCTCACACGTCGAACGTGATTTCGCGGTAGATTTTCCATTTCGCCGCTGACGACGGCAAGGCCACGGTTAAAACCCTCATTATCGTCTTCCAATATGACGCGAACGCGCCGATTCTCCGTGGTGCTCATAAGAAAACGTGCGCGGGGCATATCTGCGTCCCTGACGAGAGCCTCGTGTCTGAACTCTCTTCATCTCTCTCTCTCTCTCTCTTTCTCTGGGTCGCTCGGGCTTTCTCATATTTACTCGTACCGTCCCTTCGTCCCTCACGCTCCCTGATGCTAACTCCCTACCAGAGGATCGCGCGCCGATCCCGTCTCCCCTACTACCGTCGTCGACGGTCCTCGGTGCGCGTTCGATACACGGAATCGCCTCGTGGTTCTCGGAAGGCAGTAGACTGTCGCCAACCACGCCAGACGGCGCACCGCTCGCACGCTCTCTCTCTCGTTGCGTATTCGCCCACTGGCTCACCCACGGGGACTACCCTCGTCCTCGTCCTCTCGGCCCTCTCCTCCTCCTCTCTCTCTCTTGCTCTCCTCCCTTCTCGCTCTCCGTCCTCTTCTCTTACCCTCCCCTTCACGCCTCTCTCCTCCCGACCACTACTCCATACACTCTGTCTCGCGGCGCGGCTGCGGAGCCAGCCAGCTACACGGGGCCCGTCAGTTACGCAACAATAACAACGCCGTCAGGAGGTGCGTAGCGTCGTGCGGCGCGCGACACCGCAACGCGACACCGTGGATCGTGCGTAGTGTGTGTGTGTGTGTATGTGTGTGGGTGTATGTGTGTGTCGACCGTTGCGTTCGCGAGGAATCACACTTGTTGACAGCAACGCGGGTGAACGCGGGTGAAACGGAGCGACTCGCACGGATTACAAGGGGGGGGAGGGGGGACGGAGAGGAAGAACGTAAGGAAGAAATCTGGAAGTGATCGTCGTCGAGAAAAGTCAACTTTCGCGCGCCAACACCAACTGTGGCAGGCAAAGCGGGATTGACAGGAGTGACTCGAGATCGCGAGCGGGAGAAGAGATCGCGATGATCGAGCGCGATCGAGAGTAACGCGACGCGTGTGACGAGGTGTGAGAAAACGTGTACAAGTGTGCAATCTTTCAGTAAAGACTCGCGGGATCTTTGGAGAACGAGGAGAGACTGTAACGGGAGTGCGACGTCGTCAAGAGTGGAGGATTCGCGCGTGGCACGAAAGGGGAGCAGGAGGAGAATCCGAGGGAATTCCGATCGATCGCGATCGAGAGCGGGAAAGCGTGACTTTGGACGTCGGTCGTTACACGAGGGAAACTTGTATCTCGGCTTCCATCGGATAGAAACCTCAAGATACCGAAGAGATCGCGAAGCCGGGGGATTCGCGAACGTTACCCTCGGATGGAGAACATGCGGAAGTGTCGATCGGCGCGGTGAATCGTTAAGGAGCGTCTCGCGAGCCGTCCTGGATCGAATCGACATTCATCTCCGGCTATCGATCGAATGAATGGAACAGTAGTCAAGTGTTATCACGCGGCGAGTACGAGAGCGACCACGAGGAACAGCAGCGAGAGGTGCGCCGATCGATCGTAGATCAAGCTACGTCGGAATAACATCGAGGCAAAAGTGTTGGACTTTAAAAGTTTGGACGAGCGTCATACGGATCGCCGTCGATCGTCTTGGTAGGGACACGATCTTTGTAGTAAACGAGGTCGCGTCAGTAGATCGGCTACTGATCTCTCTCTCTCTCTCTTGGGAGAGAGACACTCTTGAAGAAGAGAGCACGGCGAGACGCGGCGGGTATCCCCACGGCGACGCGTTTAGGCGCCAATGACGTCACCGTGCGAGTGAGACCGCCGCCGGGGGAATTCGCGGTCGGAGTTTCTCGCCGCGCGCGCGGCACGTTTACGCGTCCCCGACACGGCGAGACGCGAGACGCGAGGCGACACGGCGCGACGCTCTCGGCAGTCAGCAGTGCCGCGATCGCCGGCGATGGTAGTACCAGTGGTGATGGTAGTGGTGACCGCGCGATAGTAGCAGTGTTGATGGTGTACGCTCGACCGTACGAGTGGTTTATTCCTCCTCGTCATCCGTCGTCGTCGTCGTCGTCGTCGTCGTCGTGCCGTGCCTCGCGGTGGGGGTAAGGATACCCCTGTGAAATCCGCGGTGCGCGGGTGGCCGATTATACTTTTCTAACTAACGTATGTCGCTCGTCGTCGGCGGGCAATGACTAACCGCGCGCGGCCGATTACGTTAACGAGAGATATCATATCCGACGACTCGGAGCTGCCGATTCGGAGCTATCACTCGTTGCCCGTTATCATCGTCAGCGCCGGTCGGACGGGATTTGCATAGCAAACAGATTGACGCGCTCGTAGTAAGTGGATAACGAGAAATCGCGCACGTACACCGTATATAGCGCGAGAGATCGTTGGGCGCTTCGTAAGTGTGTGAATATCGCTCAGCGCGTGCGTGCATGCGTGCGTGCATGCGTGCATGCGTGCGTGCGTGCGTGCCGTGCGTGCGTACGACTGGTATCAGCAGGAGGGAGAGAGAAAAAGAGAAGGAGAGAGAGAGAGATAGAGGATACGACGGACGAGGCAAGTGCGGAGCTTAAAATAGAAGAGTGACTTCGGCTTAAGTACGTGGCGGGAGGACGGAGCGAGTAAAACACACGAATCGGAGAAGAGAAGGGTGGATGTTGTGCTCACTTTTTCCCCACCTCCACGTTTCTGTGATACGTTCGAATTCTACGTTTCTCCGTGGGTGAAAGAGGAAACAACGGGAGAGGACGACGAGAATACATATACATACATACATATATATACATATATACAAATATCTCGCGATGGAGTGCGTATTTCTTCTGTGATAATTCGTATAGTGCGTATTGTAGTGGTGGAACGCAAGAAAAGGGTGATCTCGTGTCTCACCGCGCGCGCAAGATTCTTTTTCTCTTTTCCCGCCCGTGTGGTTGGAAAAAAAGAAAAAAAAACAGGAGAGAGAGGATTCAAGTCGATCTTCGCGCGGTAGAGAGATCGCGCCTCCAGCAAGCCGAGCGCTCGCCCATCAGGAAAGGAGGCGTCGGCTCGCTCTCTGTCCCACGCGATGGATCGTGACTCGCGTTCGTATTCCTGCGGAGGCTGCGAGAGGACCGCCGCCGAGGGCCGAGCTATGCCGATGGAGTAACAAGTGAGCGGCGAAGCGGCGTTGCCATGACGACAGGTGAACCATGAGTCTCTCTCTCTCTCTCTTTCTCTCTTCCCCCCGTAGTTCTCTCCTCCTCGCCTCATCCTCCTCTCTCTCTTCCGCGACCTCCTCACTATCAGTCCTCTCTTCTCTCTCTCTCTCTCTCTCTCTCTCTCTCGTTCCATAGTCACTCTTCGCGCAGCATGTTTGTTGTCCCTCTTTTCCTCTGACCCCATATACTCGCGAGATATGATGCGACAACATTGCCTCTGTCTTTCTCGCCTCTCTCCTTTATCTCTCTCTCTCCTGCTCTCTCGTGCATTGTGACCATGCTCTCCGATCTCGATCCTCCTCTCCTGGTTCGTCATTCCACTATCTCTCTCTCTCTCTCTCTCTCTCTTTCTCTTTCTCTCTCTCTTTATCGCTTCTCTTTCTCCCTCTCGACGCTCACTACTTCGTTCTCCTTTTTCGGTCGCTCCCTTCCTTCTCTGCGGTCTCATCGCTTCGATACATCGACGTGTTTTCGTGATACTCGGAAAGCTGAGTGATCATGAAAGAGAAACAGGAGAACGAGACGGAGAGAAAAGATTGGATTCTTTCTTGACCAGAGTTTCGTACATTGTGAACGGTGTTACGATCGCGTTGTAAAAATTTACGAGGGATGCTGCGGTCGTTACGTCAAGCCCTCCTCCGTGTCAGCATTTTGTTGGCTCCTCTATTCGCTTTCCCCTCTTCTTTTTACAAACCGGACCGCGTGCGAGCATCGCGTATATGCGATCATAGTAATTTCAGCCTTCAATCGTGCGTGCGCGCGCGCAATACGTGCCTATATATGCGCATTGCGCATAGGTATCTTACGATATTCATTTACGATCCTTACGACGACTTTACTTTATCCGAAAGGCTTTTTTTGTCACGCTGTCATGTTTTCCAATAAAAAGAGAGGGAGATACACAGATAATGACAGCAATCGTTTAACATTATCGCTGACTAACGTTTCTATCCTTGAAAGTACAACGCAGTCTTAGTCTTTATATACTTACAACCGCGCTTTATTTTTAACTCGCTAAACAGACACGTGAGAAATGATATTGCACGTTTGTATGAAATAAAATTTTTATATAAAATCTAACAATAGTATTATAAATGAATGAATGAAGAGGAATGAAAATTGTTCACATGGCAATTTCCTAGATATTCGTTATATCTTTTTTTTCCTAGATTTCCAGTAGATTCTTTCAAATTAGTAGGAACAAAATTAGTAGGAAAATTTCATGCAACTGAAGCTTAATCGAAAAGAAGTAATTTCGAAACACCCGTTAGATTGTGAAGAATCAGCACGCAAATTAAAGCCGTAAATAACCGGCAAGTTATAATTAATCGTTGGTCGGTATTTCTCCAGTATCGCTGGTCGACCACCTCTGGTCAAACAAGTACATGTGAACTTCAAGAGAGATAGTCTGTACGACAAAGTTGCAGAGCGGGTAGATGGCGAGAGAACAATTTTTGAACTGCACACTGACAGATATAATAAGCTTCTCCCTCTCTTTCTCTTCCCTTCTTCTCGTTTTTCTGCTCCGAAAAATTCTTCTTTATAGGAATTTCCCCCCCATATTAGCTTAATTTATTTAAATGCATAGCAGACAGTTATAAAACCACGAAAACGGAAATCAAAGTAATTATTTTCTCTCTTCTATTCACGTATTTATACCAACTGTAAAAGATGTAATTCGAATTATTATTATAAATGATTTTTTACTTTATACAAAAAATCATTATTCATGAAGCTGTTCCGATCGTTTTTATCTAATTCTTACATATATTTTTTTAAATGAATATTTGTCTTGCGAATGTTACATCTAGATGCGTAAATACTGAAGCTATATAAAGTATTCAAAGAAAATTATTGAGTACTTTCTAATAGCCAAGCATCGATGAGCATGCTTCTTTAAGTAATCGCTCCGCACTCACGCACGCACTCACGCACGCCACGTCCGTTGGTCGAGCGGCGTTGGATGACGCCGTTTTAGCATGCTTAGCGCGTAGGCCACGCGATATTCCAAGTACGCTGGGCTATTTTCATGCTACGCCAAGAAGACACGGAGAACGAGCGAGCGAGCTCCGCGAGTATAAGGCGCGTATCTTTCTATGCCTACAGCGACGACACGACGACGCGACGACGCGACGACGAAACGACAGCGACCTACGGCCAAGCCGTATAAAGCCGGAATCAGCCGGACTGCGAGTGGGATCGTCTCGGAATTTCTCTCGATTTGTCGTCTATTCGTGGAAAGGACTCCCAGGCCCGGAGAGTTGTAAGCCCCGAGAGATTCAGACTTACAGCGCGAGGTGCCTCCATTCGTGGATATTTCTATCGGCGAACAATAATTCGAATGTTATGCAAACTCCATTTTCAAATCATTCGGGAAGCATTTGGTCGAGCAGTGCGATTCATATTAGAACAGTCAGCGCTTAAAATAAATCTTTGAGATAGCTATTCATCTAACGGTAAGAGATATTGTCTTAATTTCGAGAACCCAGAGAACATTCCTTGTCTGCGAAGAGTACTTGTATAATGAAAACGGAACAGAATGAGACTCGAGGATGAGTAGTCGCTATAATGCTTCACATTTCTTTGAAACAAGCATAAACATGCGATGAACTTGGCGGCTGTTTTGTGTATAAACAATAGCACGCGAAGATGATAGTACAAGTTCGTGAAACAAGTTAAAGAAACGTAAAATGAAGGAGAATTATATTCTGTAAACATACGTATTCTGTTACGTTTTAAAATAATCGACAAGTGACGCTATAAATGTTAATTTTTCACAAAAAATGTCATTTATATATTTTCTCGGGAGTCTATCAATTGGAAAGTCACCTAGTTGCAGAAGCACATGGAACGATCAATTTAAAACCTAAACCTTGGGTTTTGCTAAAATATCTACAAATTCAGCTAGTTACAGGTCTGAAAAATAATTTTGTTAGACCAATAAAATAATTGTGTATGTAATAATTGCGTGATGCACAAGTTGATTGCAAGAATGTCAAGTTCCTTTGCAACTCCTTTACATTTTTGTCCATTATACTTGACCTACACAATTATTTTAATAACTCAACACAATTATTTTTAGATATGTATTTAGCCAAAATTTTTGAAATACTTTAGTAAAATTGTTCTATCCGTGAACTTAAAACGCATTATAAAAATTAAAAAATTATCAAAAAATTGAAAATTTTCGAAACTATTTTTACATTATTTTTTCTAATTACAAATATGAAAAATGATGACGAATATAGTAGCAATTCGTCATATATAACGCGCAATGTAAACACGATTACGATCACAAAAGTTTTAATTACAAGAGTATCGATTGCGTAGATAACACCGCGATAACTTCTGTTATCAGCTCGCTATGATTCTCCTTTCAGATAGCTTATAGAGAATACAGTAACTCGAATGTAAGCGGAATTCTCCTGGTTTACTAGGAATTTCTAACTTTATACAAGAATATGGAGATGTTAAGCGTTGGATCATTCATCAGCCGACGGGAATCTCCACTGATTTGTGTGGAATCTCGTACTACGCATAAATCTGTCAAAGGAATTCGATATGTCGCGATATCAAGCACGTATTTATGCGGAAGAGATCAGCTGTTGACGATTAACACCTTTCGTGGAATCGCTTTTCGTCATCATTTAATTTTTTTTTTTGCTTAGTTTCTTGTGAAATTGCGATGCAAATAACGACGCCAATTGCAAAAAATATAAAAATGCTTTATGAAACGATGCAAGACGTTCAATCTGTGAACGTGTTGCGTGTAAAAAATATGATAGAAAATTTTTTATAAATATTTAATCGTCTATTCCCTGTTTTTATCAATGCAGATTAACTTTAATTTCGGTCTAACTTATATCTTTTTCTAATTCTACAATAAAAAGGAAAAGATAAAGAGTAAATTAAATCGTGATGAAAGTTAATCTACGTTGATAGACATTAATAATAAATTTATTGTGAATTTTATTTCCAATTACTAGAAATATGTGTAAACGTGTATGTATGTGTATATATATATTATACACACACTCACACACACACATACACACGTACATAACTCTCGCTTAAATCAAGCTATATATGATTATGGGATAATCGATGTCAGTGATCATTGGCTTTTCCAAAATAGAATTACGAGATCAAATGGAAAACTCATGTTTCGCGGCGCAAACATCCACGGGTTAAAATATCTCGCGAAAAGCGGCGGTCACACGTGATACAATGGAATTTACTTTACTCGCTATCTAAATTTACTTTAACTGTCCGTGCACCCCCATAAATCCACCGAACTTCATTACGCTCGCTCGGCGATACTATAAACCCGTTACGGTCTTGTAATAAGTTTAAAAGGATTGTACGACACTCACCCATTCACGCTGGACGTATCCTCAGAGATTTTAATTGCCACCATGTGATCTCTCGAACTTGACTCCTTCATTGAACAGCGAATGGAAATAATTTCATTACCTACACATATTATTATTATTGTTATTATTATTATTGTTGTTGTTGTTATTATATGTATATACGCTATGTTGTGAATAACGATAACGGAATATGACGGAATATGACGGAATATGACGGATGACTTTCTATAAAATTAAGAAAAAGAGAAATCGATTTTATCTTTAGTGATTTTATCTTAAGGAATTAATCTTCGAAATCAATTTTTGACGACAGTCGAATACTGTATATTAATTTATATTTAATCTTGCCTACTAGTAGTAAGATTTAAATCACTCGTCAATTTCAAGCTAAACGAAAATTCCGAGTCCTTTGACGTACGGTAAATTGACGGCGGGCATTGATAATCGAAGAGATACAGTTATACTATATCACGTTCCACATCGATCGTGACATGAAGATCAGCAATTGAGGCTACCACGATTAATTGTAGCCAGCTTATCGTATTCTTTCAACTAGCATTAATAACCGTTTCTCGCACGTTTGTTTTCGCGGAAAAGAAGCCACAAGAGAT